AATTTTAATTTATAATTATTTTTTTTAATAGGAAAAAATAGTTTCGAAGTAAAATCCTCGTAAAGGTTTCGAGGTAAATTCCTCGTAAACTTTCCTAGCAAACTCCTCGTAAAGTGTCTACTACGAGTTTACGAGGAAGTACTTTACTACGCCCTTACGAGGAAAGTGTACGTGGAGCTTACGAGGAAATGTTTTCCACAGCTTTACGAGGAAAACTTTCCTCGTAAATTAGCTAGGCCTTTACGAGGAAAATAGCCTTTACGATGAACGTCTTTCGACGAAACACGTTTACTCGCTATTTCCTAGTAAAGGGCCATTTACTAGGAAATAACGAGGAAAACCCGTCCTAGTAAAGGACGTGTTTTCTTGTAGTGAAATACTATAATTATGTAAAAATAAGTAAGAATACAAATAATATAGTATATTTGTATGTATTTACAAATTTGAACTAATTAATAATAATACTTAAACTATACTATTAAATGAAACAGAATAAAATATGTGTATAAATATTTGGTGTGATAAATAGTGTTATACCAAATTTGGTGTAATACTATTCACTCTACACTAAATTTGGTGGAATGATGTTATTTTTGGTGTCTTATTGGAGATGAAATTACACCAAATTTGGTGTTTCGGTGATTCATTAGAATTGGCTTTAGTTCAAATTTCACTGACATAATTTAAAAATAAGAATGGTATCTCTAAAGAATCTGTCCTAGCAATAGACAAGAGAGTTTCAGAATCCTTTCTAAAGTGAACTACAAAGTACAAAGTATACTCTTGGCGTTTCAACATTGTTGAATAAAAGGCTATACGAAGTTGATAATGGAGACTGCCTGCAAAAAAGGATGTTGAAGTATTAACAAAAGGAACGCTACACTTTGGAGCTTACAATTGGATTAGAGAAATACGATGTTGGATGTTAAAGTTTGAAGAAATTCCATTAACTTGGGTGGGTAGAAAGGCAAATCAAGTGGCTGATACTTTGGCAAAGACTAATATTCCAAATAATAATCTGTTTGTATCTTATTATTTGTCCCAATAGCGATTACTAATACTCTGCATGAGGATTATATAGACTGAAGACAATATCGATTAAATTAGTCGTTTAAAAATCCTAATAGTATTATACTAAAAGAAAATGGCGGGTATAGGTACAGAGTTGGTAGGACCGTAACATGTTAGAATATCGCAACCACATTTGATTGCATTAAAGTTTTGACATAAGATCTCCTTTTGTGTTCTGTCTCCCTTCACTCTGCATTAATTTTATACGACCTTATTTCGTTTTTTTTTTTTTCATTTTGTATCATCTAAGAAATTCTTGACATCCGCCAATATGTGTATCCCCACGGTCCGGGACCATATTAGTTTTGTAATTCAATTGATATTTGAGGTTGGGGAATTACTACATGGTCATTTGCTTCGTTATTTCCCTGGCTATTACACAAATTCACCCAACTTAGAAGACCTATAGACTAAGAGATTCAAACCTCCTGATATTTTTTTAAACCTCCTTAATATCAAAAAAATTTGAGCGAAACATGACTTTACCAAAGTGTAATATGCATAAGTATTGATGAAAGGTTTTAGAGTTTTAAAGGAAACTTCATATTTGATTTCACTATACAAAACTTAAAATTTAAAATTTTATCTTTTTTTATTTCCATTTCGTCCTTACAGTTATAAATAAAATTTACAATTCATAAATACTTTTTTGTTTATCGTTTTTATATCTCATAAATATTTCAAATTATTTTTTTTATTTTTTTTTATAAATTTAAGTTTAGAGATAAATTAAATAAAGTTTTAAAATAAAATTTATAATATTTTAAAACTAAAAAAATATTACAAAAGAAAATTAATATTTGCTTGTAATTAAATATTTTAGTAATAGAATTAGACAACAAAAATATGGCGTTTTGCTTAATATTTAATAATGTATTTGTATTTTATATTCTAGTGTACGCTTTTATTAATTAATATTGATGTATAATTTTATATATATGTGTTATTTATAAAAGCTTTATGATTTGCATTAACTATGACAAAATATATAGACTATAGTGTAAAATATAAATAATTTTGAAGTTAGGTTTGAAGTTTTGCTTGAAAAAAATAACTTAAAACTTCAAATATAGAATTTTAGAAATTTCAAAATAGAAATTCTTTTTGAAGATGCTCTTATTATAAATGCTTATTTATATGTAATCAATTTTTTTTTTTGAGAAATGTAATCAGTTTTTCTTTTGTCGATGATTATTACTTATTCCCGTGGCTATTACACAAATTCATCCAACTTAGAAGACCTATAGACTAAGAGATTCAAACCTTCTTAAAGTGTAATATGCATCAAGTAATAATGAAAGGTTTTACTATGAATGCCTATTTAGATGTAGTACATAACATGGCTACATCAGTTGTTCATTTGTCGTTGACTATATATTACTTAGGAGATGATTAGTTGTGTCTGTAGATGTTTTGGATAGCTAAAATTTAGTACAAAGACATATATGTCAATCAATCAAACTTTCATTTCTTTAAGACCATCTCCATCCATTAGTACCCCTAATGGGTACTTAAGAATAAATAAATATTTAATTTTGTGATTTGAAAGTTTAAGTATCCTTGTTAGTCTATTTATTTTTTTTCATCTTCCATTGGTAGGACCTAGTTGAGGTTCTAAAAAAAAAAAGAAATTTGAAATTTGAATGTTCTATGTGTTTCTTTTTTCTTTTTCGATCACAAAAAAACAAATGTCCAGTTCCAATCTTTAAGTTTACAAGCTACCAAAAGCACAAACAAAATTCAAAACGTAGAATGCATACGAGCATCAAAGCAAGTAGTAAACTAAATGATAGATGCCAATTCTCAGTACTTAATGGGTGCAAGAACATCGAGCTGGGATCCAAGCTTCTCTTTTGCAACCTTCTTGGCCTTAGCCCTGAGCTTGGTGAGCTGCTTCTTACGCTCATACACAGCCTGTGACTTCTCCTTTCTTTTGACCTCAAGTTCCTTAATGGTATCGTAGTGGTTCCAGCCAACCTCAGAAGAAAGACGTCCCAACAAGCAGTACTTGTGACCAGCCTGGAGACGTCCCAACAAACAGTACTTGTGACCAGCCTGGAGCCTCAAAATATTGAGAGCATCAGGAATAACCATTCTCTTGACCTTGTCGTAAGGAGGTGGGACTCCTTCGAAGACCTTCAAGCGTGCAAGAGCAGCAGCTCCACGCTTGGTCTTGTGTTGAATCATTCTGCAACACAACAACAAACCATCTTCAAAACATCTTACAAAACACAGACGATTTCAGACAAATATAAATTACACAGAGAAAGAAAAGGCAGACTCTTTATGCAACCTAACCCATTAATACAAACACCCAACACTCTTTTTTTTTGAAACACCCAACCTGACCCAGACAACATCTCTTTCTTTCTCTCGATTCAGATTGGGTTCTCTTTCACTGCTTTGTTCTATGTCTTTCAATATGGACTATAGCTAAAATGTTACTTAAGATCACACAAGGTGTTCTATTAATCTATAAACAGACCCATTTTCTCAACCTAATGAAAGAGGAGAGGAACAAATGGACACAAAAACAGCAGAAGAGACCAACAAACCGAACAGCAACACATGATATAGCATAGACAGATTATTAGTTCATAATATACCGTAAACATGTTTGCTGCGAAAGCATTCACATTACGCAACATCTCTTGCTTCTCTCTCATTCTTCTGAACCTCTTCCTGTGAACATTTGATTTCTACAGATAAAATTAAATAAAAATAATCAGACCACCATCTGTTCAAACATTTACACAAGTAAAAAAATGGTCGGAATCTAGACAAGTAAAAACATCTCAAAGTCCCAAACTTTCAATCTATTAAACAAAAGCTCAAAACATTGGTCATCGATCCAAATTCAAAGGAAAATGCCAAAGCACGAAACTTTATCTTGTGGGTCAGACACAAAATCAAAATTTTAATGAAAAAAAGAGAGTCAACCGAATCCCAGGAAGTGCGACGTTTGCGACGGGAGTGGAATGACAAAAACGATGCTTTCAGGTGGGAAGATTCGCTCTATGTTCTGTGAATCGCAACTCTAATGGTGGCGTTCTGGGAGGTAATTAAGATTGCGTCTTTTGGTTCATCGTCATGAAGGAGAGAGATCATTGGTTGTGGTCCAATGATAAGAAGCCACGTCAGGGTGACTTACCAAAACTACAGAATCCAATTTCAGGAGCGCTACTAATATAAATTGGGCTTTTTCATTTAATTTTTATTTATTTTTGGGTGTTTCTTGGGTTTAGTCACCCCTGATGGAGGTGCTCTAAGAACCTACATCCAAAATATCTCTAGAATTTGAAAAAGTGAATATAGAAAAATTTATTTATAGAGCAAAATAAATACTTTATAAATCTACAACAAAAAAAAATTACATCAAATAAATCTAAAATTTAAATTCTACAGCAAAAAACATAGAGCTACAGTTCATTCCAATCACCCCAACTAAAATATACATAAGAAAAATATACATAAAATCATTTGTAACGTTTTCTTCTTGTCCGGTTTTACTGGTAGAGATTGGCTGTTTTTAATAGATTATTGTCAGCTTGTTGGTAAGAAAAAAAAAACAATTTGCATTGGAGTATATGGTTAATTATGTGTCAATTTTTCCCAAATTTTAGTATTTCGTCGCAATGGTATTAGGTTAAGATCCTTTACACATACAGTAACAAAAAGAAGTCATAACGTGCAACAGCGGTACATGGTTAGGTTTTTCACGAAAGGAAAAGACAACTACTACAATTAATATTTACATTTTATTTTCATGTGTTTGGCTCCTTTTCTTCTCACCAAAAACCATTAATTATAACTTTCGTATGCTCGTGAAAGACCAAAGAAAAAAAGTTGATTATTCTTCCATTGGTCGGAGAGAATTTGTGTTAGATAGCTTCGAGAACTTTGATTCAATTTTTTTTTCTTGTAAAAGATCATATATTAAATGACATTTTAATTACTTGCATTTTGCTTTTCTTGGCGTTTCTATTGTATACTGGTTTCTCTCTACGCATGAAAACAATGCCGGCATATGGTAATCAATGTTTTTTGTTTCAAATAAATAATCAAATTTGGAACATATATCTATATCATGTGCGCGTGTACGTATTATGTTATAGATAGATTAGGGATTTTGGGTATATGCGTGCAAGTGGACCAATCAAGAGGTTTTATTTTTGCATGATATACGTGAACGTATCTACTGGCGTTACCTGCCCACAAGATACGTCCATTTTATTAGTTAGATCTCGCTAAATAAGCCAATAATAATTCAAGCATATAAGTCATCAAATGCATATCTACTAAATTCTCAAATTGGGTATCATTGTTTAATTAAGACAATAATAATAATCCAAGCATATAAGTCAACAAGTGATCTACTCAAAAAGAATCAATCTTAATGCCGTAAAATTAACCCAATTGACATTACGAAAACCAGGAAATATTATTTTCAAATATAGTTTTCAGTATAATTTTAATATTATTACTGGTTTTTAAAGCATAAATAATTGTTTGGCAGGAAAGAAGAGAGCGGCTTTAGGTTATGTTCCGGGTCGGCTTGATGTTCTAGTAGACAAAACAAAAACATCTTTCTTTGTTATTCCTTTATCTAAAGAAAGATGTTTCTTTTTGTGTAAGCACGGCTTTAGTTGAGTTTTTAGTCACAGCCGTTGGGACTAGGCCTGAAACAAATTAGGGCTCCTTATTTTTTGTTTCTTGTTTCTGAAGCAATCATTCTGTCTTATGAACCCAAGCAACAAGGACAGTAAAACAAGGGACTAAAAACAACAGCAAAGGCAGACACGAGAGAGAAATAAATGCCAGATTATGGGACAATAGAACTATAATTTTGTTGACAATTTGCAAACTTTATTTTGTATACTCCATAAACTTTTCAGATTTATTTATCTATATTTAGAATCGATTCTGATTCTCACTCAAGAGCAAAGCGAATTAATATTTTTTAGTAGTCTCCTACTCTTTATTCAGATCATAAAACGAATCACAAGCAAATTTGGTGAGGTCTAGACACTTCATGAAAGTCCTCCAAGGAAACATAAACAACATTATCTGGAATAACCTCAGAAAAATGTAAACCAAATAATAGAGAAAACGCATAGTTAGCTAATTTATATGCTAGATAATTAGTTTTCTTATACACGTGAGAAATTTTGACTAACTAGTCTCTTGATATGAAGCCATAGCACAAACGTACTAGAAATGACATGGTATGAAAATCATGAAGCCTTGTACGAAGAAAACCCGCCGCACTCTTCAAATCAATTTCCAACTCCAACCGACGAATACCATGATCCCATGCTATACATAGTCTATACCACTCCTACGCGATAGACTCATCATCACAAAATAAACAGTCGCATATAACCCGAACAAGTATTTCGACTTCCACAAACAAAAAGGACACTCGACTGAGGAATGCCGCGCAGTACTCCGCAACAAGGAGGAGGAAAACAAAGAGAACGGCGAGAACACGGAAGAGGAAGAAGCTCCAACGACCCCAAAAATCAAAGGAAAGGGAAAATGAAGCAGGGAAGTCGAGCCGGAATCACCAGAATCTCCACCTCCAGCCCCAAAGAAAAGAGTTGACATGATCCTATGGGGACCTGAACGTAAAAAGACACTAAGAAAAGCCGCGGAACGAATAAACATCGATGTCACAGTGACAATACGAGGTTCGGAAGAACTCGATAGGATTCGTTCTCCTCCCTTCAACCGAACAACAAGATACCACTACTGGCCAAAAAAGAACAACAAATTCAACACGATTCGACGGCTGCTTGAAAAACCGATACACAAGAAAAAGCACAGCCCACGTCTGCTCAAACCAACCTGTCCAGGGGCAAGGACACCACCAGCCGACTCAAACCAAAAAAGGGTACTTCCCCGCACGTTACCAGAAAAAGGAAAAAGATTCGACTTCATTTACGGAGGGTCAAAATTTTGCAACTCAGTCACTCCATTAAATCGCACCAACGAAGAGCATAAAGTAGCATCGGCATACGAGAACCTCTATCAGGCCCCGACCATGAAATCACCTTCGACGAAAATGAAACCGCCAACCTCGACAAACCACACGACGACACACTAGTTATACGACTCAATGTTGGAGGATGCAAACTATCCAGGATCATGATCGATACTGGAAGTTCTGCGGATGTACTCTTCTACGACGCACTAAAAAGGATGGGTTTACCAAAACACTCCTCAAACAAGAGAGAAACCCACTAATCGGATTCGCAGGAGAGACCACCTATTCCCTCGGATCCATCGAACTCGCTGTAACCGCCAGAGACGTAAGAAAGATTGTCGAATTTATCGTCATAGATCGACCAACCCTATTTAACGCTATCCTCAGGAGACCATGGCTATACAGCATGAAAGCAGTACCATCAACTTACCAACAATGCCTGAAATTCCCTACGCCAAAAAGAATTGAAACTATAAAGGGAAGACAGAAGAACTCCAGAATCTGCTACCTCACGAGCTTCAAAGTCATCGAGCCGAATCCATAGGATCAACCGAGAAGCCTCAAGAAAAACAAGAGTCGTACTTACGTACACGAGCAAATCGAAAAACATGACCCTGATTACCGGGAAAACAATTGAACTACTTTTAGACTTGATCTCTCGATGAGGGTACGTAGCTAGCTCACGATCCGAGTTCAGTCATTCATCACAAACCAACTTTTTCACAAGGAGATCAAATCTGGGTTCAGAAGCAACCTATCCACATTGATACACCTTTCTTCTTTCATGTAAAATGCGAAGTTGTATACCAAGAACCGTTTGATAATAAACAAAGATAAATTCTCATTCCCATAATTCGATTTAACTGCATGAAGAGACCCTGATCAAGTCTTCGGAAACAATTAGGATCCCGCCAAAAAACACGGCGCTTCATGATAGTAAAATAATTATTAAACACAACTCATCGATACGATATTTATGGAAATCGATATACGACCCCAAAATAGAAAAGGTCGCAAACTCGCGGTAAACTAAAATCGCATAAACAAACCATTATTATTCGCAACCTTTTATCAAGTCGCTAGAAAGAAACAACAAAAGAAAATAAACTAATCGTCGGCATCAAACTCGCCATCTTCGTAGCAATCCTGTTACGCCCTTGCTTGCCACCAGATTCGTCTCCACCAGGAGGGACCTGAGAAA